CCATCACCATCACCGACACCACAACAAAATTCGATTGTACCAACAAATGGTATTTATGCTTCTGCATTGTATGATTTTGAGGGTAAAGAAGAAAATGAATTAAATTTTAGAAAAGGAGATTTAATTGAAGTAATTGAGAAAGGAGATGGACCTAATAGTTGGTGGAAAGGTAAAATAAATGGAATTGTGGGCGATTTTCCCGGTATTTATTATTATTTATTATTATTTATATAAATTTTTATTTAATTTTTAAACTAAGTAATTTAATATTAGTTTAACTTAATTTTATTAATTAATTTTAGGTAATTACGTCGTGGTCAAATAGATAGGAAAACTAGGTTTATCTTGGAATTCGCTAAAAAGTCACGAGTGCAAATGAATTAAATGAAAGAATACTACATTAACAGATATGTGTATAGCTAAAAATGATAGTGGTTGGATTCGTTATTTTTATACTGAATAATACAAAGTTATTTGGGTAGTTGTTGGATGTACATTATTTGCTACAGGATTATTAATCGGCTTTTTATACTGTTCAAGGAGGAGAAAGAGACATTCAGCAATTGAAGTGAAAGCTATAAATATTTAGGAAATAAATACAATGAGTGCAACGAACACACAAGAATATTTAATATACATAAAATTTCTGAATTTAACAAATTTAAAATAAATTTATTACTAATATAAGTTTGCATCACAAATATATTTGTATATTTTTTGGATTTTTCGTAATTAATACAACACTGAATTTTTTTTTCTCTAAGAAACGGTATAAATATGTCGGAAGTAAAGTCGAAACCATATAGGGTTTTTATTTTATTGTGATATAATATGCACTTAAACTAAATTTAAAATGATGATAATAGGTTCGTTACATATAAAAAGAAAAAAATAGTTAATTATTAACATGAAAGATAATTATTCTTATCACTTTGTGTTTCTATTGTGTCTGTTTTATATTTTATTATTAATAGTGTAATATTCACAAGTTTTTACTCTAAAGTAGAATATTTTAAACGAAATATAGTGAAGTTTGTATTTTTCAGATGTTTGTTATACAAAAGTATTTGGATTTTATGCCATTAGAAAATAGTTCTTCAGTGATAGAATTATTAAAAATATTATATTAGTAATTCAAAGTTTTAATTCTCGATGAAATTAAGAATAAAAAAAATTTAACTCATTTACTCAATAATTATATAAAAATAGTTGATATTAACAGTCTCTGAGGCCAAAAAAACTATACAACAGGAATTGAATTATTTGAGAAGTAACTTTAGTTCAAAGGAACTTCAGGTTAGTATTATTGGTTTTTTTGGTCATGCAATTAATTTATTCTATTAATTTATTCTATTAACCTATTAATTCTAATTTAATAATTTAACAATTGTAGCAGTGTTAACTATAGATGACATATCGTAAATTATGACCTGCCAATAATAGATATGACCTAAAATGTCCATCACTGGTATATAGATCAATATTATTTATCTTACGATATATTCCGGCACAAGTTGGATTACAACATTTACAGTGAACGCAAATGATAGGGAAACACCTTTAAACAATCTTGATTCAGATGACAAATATAGTGCACCTATAGATAAAAACAGTAATAATACTGTTACTTTCAATAGTTTATTTAAAGAACTTAAAGATCTAAAAAAATTTTACAAAATCGATTTGGGGGTTTGATCTCAGTGGAATTATGAAAACTGATCCTAGATCAATAACTGGATTGATAGTAAATTATGATACGTGTTTAAACAATAGTAATTTTTTCTATTTGGCCATGGAGAGAAATAATGAATACTGCATTAACGGATATGTGTGCAGTTAAGAATGGTTGGGGTCGTTATTTTAATAATCTATGATTCTTTACTCCATGTGGCTTACGAAGATCCCGATAAATTGGCTGGAATATCAATTGCAAATTTAGCATTTGATTCAATTAATAATAACGTATTGAAATAATAATAATGATAAGATTAATAATGACAAAGTTATTATTGGGATTGTTGTTGGAAGTATTTTATTTGCTTTAATATTATTAATTGTTTAAGGAGGAGAAAGAGAAATTCAGCAATTGAATTTAAATCTATAGAAGATAAACATACACCCCCATCACCGACACTACAACAAAATTCGATTGTACCAACAAATGTTATTTATGCTTCTGTATTGTATGATTTCGAGGGTAAAGAAGAAAATTAATTAAATTTTAGAAAAGGAGATTTAATTGAAGTAATTGAGAAAGGAGATGGACCTAATAGTTGGTGAAAAGGGCATTTTGGGCGATTTTCCTGGTATTTATTATTATTTATTATTATCTATATCAATTTTTATTTAAATTTAACCAAATAATTTATTATTAATCTTCATTTAATTAATTTTAGGTAATTACGTAATGATCGAATAGATAGGAAAACTAGAATTCGCTAAAAAGTCACGAGTGCAAATGAATTAAATGAATTTAGCAAGAATACTGCATTAACGGATATGTGTATAGCTAAGATGACAGTAGTTGGATTCGTTATTTTGATATTGATGTCACTCTAGTTATTTTGATACTGATGTCACTCTACGATTCTTTCGACTCAATGCGTTTTTTTATGAAGATCCTGAATTTTTATATCATAAATTCAAATGGGAATATCAATTGCTAATGAAAATAATGGAAGTACCGGAAATAATTCTACTACAAGTGATAATAATGATGATAACAAAGTTATTTGGGTGGATCATAAATTAAATTACTCTCTTAGTAGTTGCATAATTTGAATACTGGATATTGACTAATTGACGTGGAAATTTTCGAAAGAGAACTATATGACATTTTCGATAAGCTCACCACATTTTTTGGGGGTCACGTTATCGATGAATTATACAATTAAATGATATTTTAAAAATATAATTAATTTAACTAAATTGGCATGAAAATTAAGATTATCAAATAGAAATATATTAAAAATAGATAAACTATATTTGCATCATCACATGTATATGTCTTGTTTAATCCATATTTGTATATTTATTTTTGATATCCAACTTTCATTAACTTTTTTCATTTTTTGGGAAATTCGTTTTAATTAATAATAACAATATTTAGGAGGAATTGAGTGACAATCAGAATTTGTTTTCGTTTCACTTTTCCCATTGTGTACACATATATTATTTATTTTTCTATAAAAAAAAATAATATAAATAGGTCGGAATTAACAATCAAAATCACCGAAACAAACGTATCTATTTTATTTCGCATCAACGCCTAAAGAAAAAATAAAATAAAAATAAAAAGAAAAGTAAAAAAAAAAATTAACTTGTCACGTTTTCTATTTTTCTATTTTTCTATTTATATATTCAAACGAAAGTTTTCTATATATTGAACGATATAATATACACTTGAAATAACCATTTCCTTTAAATTAAAAGAAATTAGTAGTGGTAATAGTTTTCTTACATATAAAAAGAAAAAAATTAATTAATTAATTATTAACATGAAAAAATATTTATTCTTATCACTTTACGAGTTTCTATTATGTCTGTTTTATGTTTTATTATTACTAGTTGGAAAAAATGAAATATTTGCAAGTTTTTCCTCTAAA